AAACAACCATAGTGCACTGATCAAAATCAGGAATTTTAACCCTGATACAATACTAATATCCCACCCATGGTTCATGTTCAAATATTGTCATTTGTCCAGGATCACACATTGGACTGAATTGTCTTATCTCCTCTGTCTCCTTGAACCTGGGGCAGATCTTGAGTCTTTCTCTGAATTTTGTTAACATTAACATGTTGGAAGAGGACAGGCCAGTGCTTTGGTGGAACGTCTCCCAATTTAGGTTTGTCCTGTGTTTCCTCATGACTAGATTCAGGCTCTGCATTTCTGGCGGGATGCCCTGGAAGTAATGTTGTGTCCTTATGTGTCACGTTAGGAGGCCCAGGACTTCAGTTCGTCCTGAGATTGATGATGTTAACTCTGGTGACTTAGACAGAGGTGATGTCTGCCAGGTTTCTCTGCACCGCTCTTCCCCTCTGGACATAATAAGGGGAGTTACTTTGCAGCTACCCAAGTTTGCTGTCCATCAGACGTTCACCCACTAGTGTTAGCATCCACCGATGATTCCAGCTGTCACTCTACTGTGAAGAGCGTTCCCTTCTCCATTATTTGCTGACATTTGGTTGAGATTTTCACATCTATATTCAAGTGGACTATTGTAAGCAATTTTCTTTTCCTGTTATGTTTTTGTCAGCTTTTAGAATCGGGGTTATTCTGGCTTCAAAAAATGAGTTGGGAAGTATTCCCTGCTCTTCTATTTTCTGAACGATTTTTTTAAAGATTGGTGTTATTTTGCCCTTAAATATTTGTTAGAATTCACCAGTAAAACCTCTGGTTCTAGGGTTTTCTTTGTGAGATGGTTTTTGATAACAGATTCAACACAGATATGGGCTATTCAGGGTTGTTATTTCATCTGTTTTATTAGGTAAGCTGTATATTTTAGGGAATTTATTAATTTCATCTAAGTTGTTAATTTATCAAGTTTTTGGGATAAAGTTGCTTACAATATTCCCTTACCTCTTTTTTTGTTTTGTTTTGTTTTGTTTTGTTTTGCGGTACGCGGGCCTCTCACTGTTGCTGCCTCTCCCGCCGCGGAGCACAGGCTCCGGATGCGCAGGCCCAGCGGCCACGACCCACGGGCCCAGCCGCTCCACGGCACGTGGGATCCTCCCGGACCGGGGCACGAACCTGCGACCCCTGCATCGGCAGGCGGACTCTCAACCACTGCGCCACCAGGGAAGCCCCTCCCTTACCTCTTAATGCCTGGAAGATCTGTAGTTTTATCCCTTTCATTTATCATACTGGTAATTTCTACTGTTTATTATTTCCTTCCTTCTACTTACTTGAGTTCAATTTGCTTGTAGTTTTCCAGTTTCTTAAGGAGGAAGCTTAATATTTTTCAGCCTATCTTCTTGTCTACTTTAAGGGTTTAAAGCTACACATTTAATGTTTATATATTTGTGATGTATTGACTCTTTTACTAAGAAGTGACTTTCTTTATCACTGGTAGTAATCTGTATCTTGTAGTCCACTGTGATATTACTGTAACCACTCCAGCATTCTTATGTTTACTGCCCATCATAGTATATTTGTTTACGTCACTTTACTCAATACCTTGTATGTCTTTACATTTAAAATCCTCCTGCTTTCATTAGCATAGAGTTTGATCTTCCTTTTATAGCCAATCTGATAGTTTCTGCCTTTTAATTGGAGTGTTCATTCCATTTATGTTTAATGTAATTATTGATATATTTGAATTTAATTCTGCCAATTTGTTTTCCATTTGTGTCATTTGTTCTTCTGTTATTTCCTGCCTTTTCTCGGGCTAATTGGATATTTTTGTATACTGCACTTTAATTTCTCTATTGAGGATTTTCAAAAATGTGGGGGCTTCCCTGGTGGCGCAGTGGTTGAGAGTCCGCCTGCCGATGCAGGGGACACGGGTTCGTGCCCTGGCCTGGGAGGATCCCACATGCCGTGGAGCGGCTGGGCCCGTGGGCCATGGCTGCTGGGCCTGCGCGCCCGGAGCCTGTGCTCCGCAATGGGAGAGGCCACAACAGTGAGAGGCCCGCGTACCGAAAAAAAAAAAAAAAAATGTGGGACCCTGCAACATCGTAGCTCCCTTCACCCTCTCCTCCTCTGTGCTGTGGTTGTCATATACATTATGACATGTACATCACATGATGATCCTGGTAATGTGGTATGATTTTAGATTTGAACAATTCTATCTTTGGGAGAAAGTAAGAAAAGGGAAGAAATGCATAGCCCTTTATACCCGCTTTTTTACCATTTTTGGTGCTCTTGCTTCCTTTCCTAGGTCTGAGTTTCCATCTGGTATCATTTCCCTGCAGCCTGAAGAACTTCCTTTAATACTTTTTTTGAATTTGGTTGGCTGCTGCTGAAATCTCCCAGTTTTAATCGGAAAATTTCTTTATTTTGCCTTCATTTTTGAATGATCGTTTTACTGGATATAGAATTGAGGTTTGTTTTCGTTTTTCCTTGCAGCACTTTAAAGATATCACCCTGTTGTCTCCTGGGGAAGTCAGCTGTCATTCACATCGTACTCCTGTGGAGAAAATATCCTATTTGGGCAGTGTTTGGCTATTGTTCCTTTAGGTGCTTTTTCTCTCTTTCTCCTTTCAGTCCAGGCCTTATAAAGTTGGGACCCTTGATATTGTCCCAACAGTAGGTCTTTGAGGTTCTGTTTTTGTTTGTTTGTTTTGTTTATTTAAGTAATTTTTGTCTCTGATGTTCAGATTTAGTGACCTTCATTGATCTGTTTTTAAGTTTGGTGACTCTTTCTGTCATCTCCAATCTATTAGCCCTTTCCATTAAATTTTTTATTTCAGTTATTGTCGTTTTCAGCTCTAGAGTTTCCATTTTGACCTTTAAAAAAATTTATTTATTTATTTATTTATTTATGGCTACGTTGGGTCTTAGTTGCAGCACGCAGGATCTTTCATTGTGGCAGGTGGGATCTTTCGTTGTGGTGTGCGGATTCTCTAGTTGTGGTGCACGGGTTCCAGAGCGCATGGGTTCAGCAGTTGCGGCGTGTGGGCTTAGTTGCCCCACGGCACGTGGGACCGTAGTTCCCTGACCAGGGATTGAACCTGCATCCCCTGGATTGGAAGGTGGATTCTTAGCCACTAGACCACCAGGGGAGTCCCCATTTTGACCTTTTTTTTTTTTTATAGTTTATATATCTCTGTGATGTAGAGATTCCCTATATGTTCTTTATGCTTGTATTTTTTTCTCATCCTTGAATATATTTATAAAAGCTCCTTGAAAGTGATTGTCTGGTGGTTGCAACATTTGGATCATCTTGGTGTTGATTTCCGTTGATGGATTTTTTCTTTATTATGGGTCACTTTTTCCTCTTAATACATAGTTATTTTTAATTGAATACTGGACATTAAAAATGATACACTACAGAGATCTGGATTCTGTTTTATTTCTCTAAAGTGATTTTTTACATAGCAGGCAGTAGCCTTGTCTGATCTCCAGCTCCCAGCTGTCTCCTTTGTGGAGAGCAGCAGCTGACGCCTCTGCTCAGTTTGTTTAGTTTCTGGCTGCTGCTTTTCTGCTGGGTCCCTGGGGTCTCCCCATATATGTGTAGTTTAGCAGCAGCCAAAGATCTCAGCAAAATATAGACACAGACTTTGGACCTTATTTGCAAATTTCTCCTGTTGCAGTTCATCTTTTAAGGACAGCCTCTGCTCCAGTTTCTGCCTTTTGGTTGCTCTCCAGTACTCTTAAATGATTGTTTTTTTATGTTTTTTTCACTATTCTGTAATTGTTACCTGTAAGAGCGTAAGTCTGACCAAGCTACAGTGTTATTACCAGAAGTCTTGATTCTTTCTTATAGTTTCCATTTCTTTGGTGAGATTTCCTATCTGTTCATTTGTTATGACTCTATTTGCCTTTTAGTTCTTGAACATATTTATAATAGCTCTTTAAAATCCATTAATTCTAACATCTGGATCTTCTGTGGATTTGTTTCTAGTGATTGAGATTTTTCTTGAATGTAAGTCACATTTTCCCATTTGTTCTCACGTCTGTGACTAATGTATCTTCTCAATGAAACATTGCAGAAACTCTGAATTCTGTGTTTTTCCTCTGAAGAGTGTTAACATTGTTCTAGCAAACAGTTCAGATTCTGTTTCCTTTGCAGTTCTCAGCAGCTGAAACCACACAGATCCTTCTGCCTTCAAGCTATTGCTTTGCTCTGTGAAACTCACCATCTCCCCTGTGCCCACGTGGTGCTGAGATCAGCCAAGGATAAGAGTAGGATTTAATCAGAGGTGGGGGCTCTCCCTTCTTTAGCTTCCTTCCTCTGTCCTTCCCTCCCTCCCAGGATTTCTACCCTCACTTTCCAGCCTCCCTGGCCACCTCCGTCTCTGTCCTCTGACTTCTCAAGCCAGTAAAACGGTAGCTTTTACTTGGAAGTCCAGCTACCCCGCATGGCTGTACAGAATGAAGGATGCCCCAGGCAGAAAGGCAGCAGCAAGCAGTGCATGTTGTACCCAGTGTGGTTTCCCCTCTCAAGGGTCTGCTTCCATTTAGTCCCCACCAGTGTTTGGTTAGTCTTCAGTGATCGCCTGTGAGCCGTCTTTTATGCTTTGTCCAGCTGTTACTGTATGTCCCACCTCACTACTCTTTGGTTTTGGTAACATGACTTAACCTCTCTAAGCGTTAGTTTCCTTATCTGGAAAAATGAAGATAAATGATACTCATGTCATAGGGTTTGAGGAACATGAAAGAGGTAATGCACATAAATTGTTCATTCACGTGTCGGGCACATGGTAGGCACCTGGCAAATGGTAACTCTTCAGCTTTAGACAAAACATATCTGAGTAAAAGTTGAAAACTGTTGGCCTTCTATTGATACAACTCGACAAAATGCAAAAGAAGGTGTTCTCTGTTTTGACCTCCTGGGTATTTTGGCAATATTTTTGATATTAGCTTTCGGAATCCAGTTAGTGATACGTGGGACATTTACGCTTTGGCATTCCAAGTGACCCAAGTTTTCTTGTTATTTGTAGATAATCTGCAAGCTGGCGTCAGTGCTGAGCAAGAGCACGGTTGAATGCCTGCTGCTCCCTCGATTCTGTGAGCTGTGTGGTGATGGGAAGCTCATTCAAGTTCGGAAGGTGGGAACGTACAGTTTCAATACTTGAAAAATTCAAAAAGTTAAACAAGATTCAAAATTGATTCCTTTAAAGTGCCTGGACTTCCTCAGTAGACACAGTCTGGATGAAAAACGTGGCCAGTGTGAACTGTGTAAGGAAAACAGTGAACACTGTTGCCAGTTTTCCCTGCCATCTGGGCATCTGTGGAGACGTAGGGTTAGACTCCGTGAGGGTAACCCTCTTGGGCACAGGAGGAAGAGACATTGCTGGCTTGTGCTTCAGTGCTGGGGCCCAGGCGTGCAAGGCCTTTCATCACTGGGGCTGACTGGCTCCAGGACCCTCGCATGTTTGCTGTACCTTCCAACTGCACCCCCTGCACTGCCCTCCCCGTTTATCGCTCGTCACTCGGTTGTCATATTCTTCCTTCTGAAGACCATTGCCAGCCCCCTCCCCGAGCAGCCTCACCGTCCACCTTGCTGTGCAGCTGCCCATCTTCCCTGTGGTCTCCCCTCATGAAGCAGAGGCAAGGAGCTGGGTCTCATTTACCATGCAGAGGACCTTAATGGTCTCTTTTGCTCTAGTGCTAACCAAAAGCATTATGTATCGAGATGATGAGGAGCCACAGCGTCCTAGCGTGTGGTGCTCTATTGTAAATCTTCTGTTTCCGGTGCAGTGGAGGCACTGGGCTCAGTAAGTGCTTGTTAGCTGCCCGACCAGAGGACTCATTGCTCTCAAGGCTCCTGCTTGTTAGTTTACACAATTTGTTAAGACAAAAAGAAATCGGAGAATAATGAGTATGCCTTTTGCCTTTTTAAGGTTTGTGCCCCAAATTTTGGTGATATTTGTCGTGCTGTCGGACAAGAAGCCACCGAGAAATTTTTGGTATGTGACGTTATGCCAGCTGTACTTGCTGATGCACTTCTTAGGGCGCTTGTGAAATCAGTGGTGAAGTTTTGTATTTATGAGTCTGTTACTCTGGAATGGCAGCTCAGTTTTGCATCCATCAGTTTCAGGTTTCTTGGCTCTTGAAGCTTACACTTCTTATAAGCCTCAGGCAGCTGGTGTGTGGGATGCTGCAGGGGCAGCCCCGCCCTCTTCCCCCCGGGGACTTCTGCTGTGGCTTCCTCACTGCTCGCTTTGCCCCCACCCCCCACCCCGGCTCATCTCACTGTGTAAGCGGCCCTCTGTCCCTTCTCGACTGCTCTTTCTAGAACACTGCTCCACCACCTCGCTCCTGGGTTTCAGAACCTGTGGGATTTTTTTCTTGGTTTACAGATTAAAATCCAGACCCTTGTTGACCCCTCAGTTCCCTTCACAAGTACCTTTCCTGCCTCCCTCCACTCGCCTCCCTCGGGTCCGAACGCCGCCCTGACCTTCGGTCGTGCATCTGAACTGCAGGGAGGGTGAAAGGGGGCATGGCCGGGGTCTGTATTTTTGCTGAAGTCCCTGGGTGATTCTCAGCACAACAGTCTGGAGAACCACATCACCAGGCAGCCGGGGGGCTCTTCAGGGCCTTGCAGCTAGCTCTCTGCTCTCGTGCACCTCCCTGCTCCTGCTCATTACTGCCCGTCTCCTTCCAGAGGCTTCCCTGCCTGGCGGGGGGACCCTACTCACACTTCTCACCCAGCTTGCGTGTGCATTTGCCTCTGTCAGGTTCCTTCCCTGTCTGGACTCACCTACCCGCTGGGTCTCCCTTTTCAGCATTCCATGACGTTCTGTTCAGAGTGCTTGCGTGTCCCCCACCACGCCTCATTGCAGCGTTGCTGACGGGGACTTCACTCCATCACGTTTACTTTTGCTTCTCCACTGCCCACCCAGTACCAGGCCCCCAGAGAACTGTGCTGAGTAAGCACTTGCCGCTTTTACGTGACAGGGCGTGCTACCTGTATGGCTGGAATACAGCTAGCTTAACCGAAGCGCCGCACATTTACGGTCACACCGAGGAGGACCGATGTGAACTTGTAAATGGACTCACAACCGTGTATATCCAGCGTGATGACAATCCATTGCATTCCACCGCACACAGTTTGTGTTCCGTGGACTGGAACTGTTGGCGGTACTGTGAGGTTTTAACAGTATGCCTTCTTTCACTAAAGTACCCCAGCCAAAGACCGCGGGACCTGGGTGGGGCCGCTAGTTGGGGAATCCACAATTTCAAAGTCATTCACAATTCTTCTCTACAGTTCACAGGCACATATCAGTCATTCAGCCTTTGGGGAGGTTTTCTGTATTATCTTGTTGAATTTAACGCAGTCATTTACTAGGATTAAGCGGCAAAGGAAGTTACTTATCCTAATTTCTGTTTGTTTCAGAGGATTCCTTTTGGACTCATAGCTAGTTCCCTTTTGTGTCATTAACTTAAGGCTCTGCCTTAACTACATCATTGAAACAGGTCTGCCCTTCCTTCGGGTGACATGGTTTTGTTTGCTTTGGTAGCTCCCGAAGTTTTTTGAGCTCTGCTCAGACAATGCATGGGGGATGAGGAAAGCCTGTGCGGAGTGCTTCGTGGCCGTGTCCCACAACACGTCCCCCGAGGGCCGCCAGGCCAGGCTCTCGCCTCTCTTTATCACACTGATCGGCGACCCCTGTCGATGGGTGAGTGCGGCCACTCGCAGGCCTCGGTGTGACTTTGGACTGGGCACTGTTACTGTGTCTTTTCAGTAACGGATTTGGCATATTTAGACTTTGTGAGGATTATCAGGGCGCCTAAAGTCTCAGAAGCCTGGTGCGTAGTAAGGAAGTGGCACACACGTCAGCATTCATAGCAAACGAACATCACAGAAACGAGAAGGAGAAGGAGAAAGCTGTAACTGTATCGTTGCCTCTTCTGTTATGATCATAACCATGCCCGTAATGATGAATAAGGTCTGTTCAGATGCTGTACAAAGTCTGGAATTATTTGATGTAGAATTAATATTCTGGAAGCATACAAACTACATGATGGCACTAAATTTTTCCTGATTTTCTGTTGAAAAATAGTTTACTTGGAGCTTAGGGAATGCCTTAGAAAGTAGTACATCTGCTTACACATAATGTGGCGGACGGTGAATTGGCTGGTGATCAGCCATCTGTTCAGCTTGGGATCAGACCTGGCCGACACCACGTCCACCGCGCCCTTCTTCTCTGGTTTCGGGTGTGCCAGGCTGCCTTCCAGTCCCTGGGCCCCGTCATCTTCACCTTTGCCAACCCCTCCAGGGCTGGCCTTTATATTCGAGAAGATGGCACCCTGAGCATCCGACCACCGGCTCCGGATTTGGACTCGGGTTTCACCTCCGGGTCACCGGGTGCAGGCAGCCATGGGAACATGTCCTCAGCCTGGTAAGTTTCGGCTGGGGTAGTTATCAGGATCCCGGCTTCACCTCAAGCATCCACCTAAAATTCTAGCAATTAACTTGTCTGGAGCTTTAGTAACAGTGACCTTCTGGGCACGATGGAATATTAGAGCTTTAATTATGTAAAGAAGCAAAAAGTAATTGCAATAATGATTTTGAAACATGACTAGTGGGTTATAAATAATGAAGCTACTGTGTCTCCTAAATTTAGATAAAATATTCACTCAGAGTCGTGATTAAATAATCTATAAAGAAAATTTTCTCTTACTTTTTGATTAATGAAGTTCTTTGGATAGTTTACACAGGGAAAATGTGAAGTCTCCCCAGTAGAATTTTGTGCCGTAGGATTTTTCAAGCACATGAAGGTGACATTCCTGACTCACCGTTAGTAGGCCCACACTGTTCTTCTAGTAAGTTCTAGTGATTGATCTCGGGTTTTTTCCTGTTTCCTCAGAAGACGATGGGTACGTACTAAGCAGGCCACATGAGGTAGTTTACAAGCATCTCTCCATTGCGAATATTCCTCCTCAGCCGTGAGAGGAGGTGATTCACATCTCGGATGGCACGGATGCTTCGTAAGATTGGTGCATCCTTCTCTCCATCTTTCTCCACCAAAATGCATTGAGTTCTTGCTGAAGGTCAGGCCTGTGTGCCACATCTTCCTCATCAAGACTTTCCAAGTGGTTCACCGGTAGCCAGTTCTTAGCAGCTCTAGCACCTTTTATTTTCTAATGCCTGCCCCCTGGTGGAGGCACTGATGAGCAGGAAGTGCATGAAGTCTCGCCACGGAAGGGGTGCCCGCGGAAGCCAGGGCTGATGCACCACTTGAATGTAATGGAGGGATTGGGTGAACCTTCCTGTGGCATTTTCAGTGCTTTAATACTCCCAGTGGGGCAGAGGGCACCGATTGGACCTCTTATCCTCTGTGAGGTTATTAACTTCTGGCACCGGAAGACACGGGAGGTTGGGTAGCCAGGTAGAGAGGAGGGCTGGCTTCGCAAGGATGGGGGTCTGATGTTTCCCCATTTTACTTCCAGTCTATTGCACGGTGCTAAAAATTTGCTTCCCTCAATTTAAACTAGTTCAACAAAGCCGGGCCAGACAGAGCCAGCTCTACCCATGGAAGGCACATCCACGGACACCAGCAATTTTCCGTGCGTCAGTAGCTCCTCCAATGGCCTGACGGAGAACCCAACGGAAGACTCTGTCTTGGCTGGAGCCGAGGTGACCAGGCTTTCCCCCAAGGCCACGAAGCTCCCCAGTGTTAACGACCTCCCCGTCAACAGCCATCCTGGACCAGACGCCTGGGCCCGCCCAGGGAGTCCTGAGGACGTTTTCAATAATCTCCTTTATTGGCGAACTCCTCTCCCTGACATAAGCAAGGACTCAGAGCTGCTCCTGAGCGAGGCTGGCCCGCGGGAGGAAGGTGGCGGCACGCCCGAGGCCGTGCGTAGAAGCTGTGTGGCTAGGAGCGAGATTCAGAGAGTCCTGGGTGGTGTGCACGCCCGAGGCCGTGCGTAGAAGCTGTGTGGCTAGGAGCGAGATTCAGAGAGTCCTGGGTGGTGTGCACGCCCGAGGCCGTGCGTAGAAGCTGTGTGGCTATAGGAGCGAGATTCAGAGAGTCCTGGGTGGTGTGCAGGAGCATATGATGAACGACCCAGGTGTGCAAGGTAGCTGTTGTCCACGGTAATACAAGAGAAAACGGGATCTTTCTGGACTGTGTGTCAGCCGGGCCCGTGTGGCTGTCCACGTGTGCATACTTCCCTCGATCGACCCTGCGCACCCACCACGGGGGCGCCTGGCCCAGTCTCCACACAGCCCTCACGCCGGGGATCCTGCTGTTGCAGGTCTCTGCGAGGGTTTTGCCTCCTTGCTTTTCAGCCGTGTGACCCGGTTCTCAGATAAAAGCGGCTAGTTCTCAGGCGTGTCTGGAGCGGTGGAAATTATATTAGCTCCTTGGACACGGTTCTGTCTCTCGCCATGTGACAAAGCCCTTTCTAGTTACGAACAGCCAAGGATGGTGCTCCTTTTGGAGCCTGTTAACTCACCTAAACCTTAAGGTTTTTCCCTTTGTACAGCCAGGAGGAGCACAGCTTCTTCTTTGGGGTATTTTTCATTTTGTGACTGGTGTTCCCACAGAGCATCTGATCTGGGAGCCAGGCCTCGCAGTCCAGATCCATCACCATGCCTCTTCTTTCTCTAAACGGGGCTGTATTTGTATTCTTCCCTGAGTTGGGGAAATTGGAAAAAAACAACACTTGCTGCTGTTGCCGGGCAAAGATTTGTGAAGCTTTCGGGAAAGGAAATGTGAAAATCCAGTTAGCCCTGTGATTATTCTTTGTCTTTAAATTTATAAAGGAAATTAAGTCAGTGTTTGCTGAAGGAATGAGCACATGTAACATATCGCTTCTAATTGTTATAGACAAAGGTCTGTTTCTGGAAGACACATTTCTAAAGCTGCCTTATTCGGTGCTTGGACCCGGGCTGGGTGCTGGGGCAGTAATGCCCGACACGTGAAGCCCTTAGGGTCTGGTTGAGGGGATTATGGAAACAACCACCCGGCATAGGGAGTGGCACGGGCTGGGGCAGGGGTGGGCGCACAGGGCAGGAAGCCGGTCCCGCCTGTGGGCGGAGGAAGCATCTGGGAGAAGACCTTGCAGAGCAGCTGACATTTGACGTGGGCTTTAGGCTTTAGGCGACGGCCAGGACTCCATCATCTTGAGAAGTCGAGGGTTGAGTTTCAGAGGTTTCTTCCAGTTTCCTGAAATCGTTGTTTGTAAAATCTTGTGTGCATATGCAGACTTAATTTCTTTGTAAGGAAGGACCCGCAGCTTTCATCAGCACTCAAAGGGATCTGGGACCCCAGAAGATTGAGAAATAAACTACCCGTTGGGTATTTGTGAACTGGCCATGGCTGAAAATGTCACTCAGACCCCTGGAAAGGGCCTCGGGTGCGCTAAGGAGGTGGCACCTTGCCCTGGGCCCAGTGGGGAGCCCTTGTAAGCTCTAAACATTTTAAGGACTCTTGTTGAATTGAACTAGTAGAAAACAGGATGCAGGCAGTATTGTGTGTGTGTGTGTGTGTGTGTGTGTGTGTGTGTGGTGTTTGGAGGCTGGAGACATGGAAACATCAGTTTGTTTTTACGGAAAGGCATGTGAACTGTGTCATCTGCACTGTTAGGAGAGTCTCGAATAGCCGTGCTGTGGACAGAAAGAACGAGTAGCGCTCGGGGCTGGGTGCACGCGGTCTTTACTCGTCGGTGTGGACGGGGATGGATTGATCCCAGCACGCGCGTGCGTGTATATGCGTGTGGCAGAGCAACGGCCACCCTGGTTTATCAATGGGGGATGGGACGCCCCCCATGTTGGTGGGCCTCCCAGACAGCAGCGTTCAGGAGCATCGCGTTGTCTTTCTGTGAAAGGTGGCGGGATTGGGCTCTGATTTCCCTAGCTGAGGCTTCTCGAGTTCAGGTTGGACGCTCTGTGTGTGGCTGGCATTTAGTTGGGATAAAGCTGACGGCTGTAAACGTCAGCACCTCGGCGAGAGCTCGCGCCGGGCGCCCGACGTCCACAAGGGGGCGGCTTGTGCGGTGCGTCCACGTCCAGCCTGTCTTGTTGTGAGTCAGTCCCTGCAAACCACATAAAGTTATTCAAATTCCTGGAACTTCTCTTCCTGCAGCTGCAGCTCAGGTGTTGTCAGCTGCACTGGTTGCGGCACAGCCAGACTCTATGGATGAGCCCGAGCGCCCGCCGACGGGGGCTCCAGGGGGCGTCCAGCTCAGATCCCAGCCCAGCCCTGGCAGTCAGCCGGCCCCCGGCGGCGTCACCCCCGCAGAATGAGCTCGCCGCGGCCAGGACGCTACAAAGCACAGTGAGTCTTTGCCCTCTCCCTCAGCCAGCGAGGATGTGACAGAAATCACGCAGCTGCGTTCTCTTTTATTAATATATCCTGGCAGAATTGATAAATGGCACATTTAATTTTATTCTTAAGGTCATGTTTTGGATAACTAGACAACGAATCAATCGGGTGATTGATAACCCCGACTCTCCTCCACAAAACAAACGTGGGGGGGCTTCCCTGGTGGCGCGGTGGTTGAGAGTCCGCCTGCCGATGCAGGAGACGCGGGTTCGTGCCCCGGTCCGGGAAGATCCCACATGCCGCGGAGCGGCTGGGCCCGTGAGCCATGGCCGCTGAGCCTGTGCGTCCGGAGCCTGTGCTCCGCAACGGGAGAGGCCACAACAGTGAGAGGCCCGCGTACCGCAAAGAAAAAAACAAACGTGGGGAGACCAAAAGCACCTTCCTTCTTCTCCAAAGACAACCTGGTTCTTTGGGGGGGATTAACCGTCTAAATGCTTTATTTCACTGCTAAACCGACGCTTATATCTTTCAGTAGCAAGGGGAGGTGAATTCATGCAACCCCTAGAATGTAAAGTTGACAGTGACCTTTGAGATTGCGCATTACCTCCAGCCCGTCCTGTGGGCCTCCTTTAACCCGTGCTTGCTCGGGAGTGGTGCTGGATGCCGTTTCTTGGAGGGGAGATTTTTTTTTTTTTTTTTTTTTGCGGTTCGCGGGCCTCTCACTGTTGCGGCCTCTCCCGTTGCGGAGCACAGGCTCCGGACGCGCAGGCTCAGCGGCCACGGCTCACGGGCCCAGCCGCTCCGCGGTACGTGGGATCTTCCCGGACCGGGGCACGAACCCGCGTCCCCTGCATCGGCAGGCGGACTCTCAACCACCGCGCCACCAGGGAAGCCCTTGGAGGGGCGATTTTGAGAAGACAAGTAGCTCACTACTGTTTCTCCTCTAGTCTGGAACCAGCCCCCGTGAGGCTGGGACTCCGTGTTTGGGGTGAAAAGGAAGCCTGGCACTTATTTCTCACCTTGAGTTTCTCGAGCTTTCCAGCTCACTCGTGGTAGGAGGCTCTGATGCCTTCCTAATTCCTACTAAACTCGCACATGGACCCCTTTGAGCTGGGGTCCTTCACAGGTAGTGGTGAGGCTAGCGAATTACAACTAGCAAGGGGTCTGTGATCATAAAGTCATGATGTGTGGGCCCCTCTCATTTTCATGTACCACGACGGAGAATCTCTTTAATGTGGTCTCCAGGGTCAGAACACCAATTGTTTCTCCAGTCACACAGTTTACATTTTGATGTCCGTGATTAAACTAACTTATCACCTCCTTTTACCCCCTTGGTCTACTCCAGTGAAGCTAAACAAAAGACGAATTAAAAAAGCCTGAATATAAAATGTTCAAGGGTTATTAAGGTTGCCTTTGATTAGCAGGGAATGAGATGATATCCTGTTTTGCTGATTTGCTTCAAAAAACAGGCAAGAAAGCTCACGTTGTTACCTTTGTTACCTGGAGTATAAAAATCACCTGTGTTAAGTGGAAAGGTGTGGTCACGTTTACCTTGGTGGGAGACGTGATGGTATTCGGGCTTCTTTGTCATATACAGAAGTGAAAAGGGAAAAGAGAGAACAGATTCCTCCAAGTTGGCTGTCTTGAGTGAAGGATCTTAAAGGGGCCTGTATAATTGGGCTTTTGGTTTATGGCGATGGATGTCAGGGCTCTTGAATTTGACTCTTAGTTTCCTAAGGGATCAGGCAGGATGCCTCTAGTTGCAAAAGAAGGAAAAAGAAACAAAAAAACTCAGAGCTTAAGCAATGAGGACAGAAGAGGAGGTGAGGCTGGGAGGCTGCTCGCCCTCGGCCCTTGCGTGGACCTCGGTCCAGCTCCCACTCCGCCATCTTCATGTACCAACTTGGTCCCGAGATGCCCAGGGGAAGGAGGGGCCTGTTTCTTCCCACTTGTCTCTTTTGACTGCCAGGTAGTTTTCTGGGGAAATGACCTCCCAATTCCTTCCGGGGTTGCCTTGACTTGGGGTGGTTTACTTAAACCTTAAGTAAACCTTGGCTCCTGGAATAAGTGCTGTATGTAACTACGGCACTGAAGACTTTGGAATAAAATTAATTCCTAGAAGGAGAATAACGATTTATTATTTATTAATCTATATGAATTTATTAACTTGGAAAAATTGGGGTCTTAGGTTATCATACCAAAATATTTCTGTTTTATCATGTCCTCTGTTAAAATAAGCAGTACATTTCAGTGAAAACCTCGGGAATTGAAGCTTCTGGTAGCATGCCTCAGAGCAAACGAAGCATCTATCGGTGTATTAACCGACTTCCCGGATCATATATTGAGCTGATTTGTCAGCATCCATTAAGCTGGTAGACAGTATGACATTTCAAGTGCAAGTAGGAAAATCCGTGTTATGGTTGAAGGAGAAGGTCAGGTCCATCTCAGTTAATGTTAATCAATGACCAGAGACCAATATGTCACCGCTGGATGGTCCAGCTCATTTTAATTGTTAACCTAATGTAATGGTTCATCGGCGAACATTAGAGGTATTTGTACATGTGAAAATTGAGGACAGTTTTCTAAATACCCTTTCATCAGCCACATCTTTTCACTCAGATTAAATGGGTCCCCCCAACCCCCCGCCTCTCCATCCTCTGTCTGGAGTCCAGAGCACTGTATTCTCTCATCCCTGAGAAATGCTGGAGGTGCTCTTCACCATTTCTTGCAGACCTCGCCCTGCCTTCCGGAGTGGCCTCTGCTTTAAACATGCGACCGTTACCTAAGGGCATCAGCTAACCACACCGGGGACCCTGGGACCTAAAGAAGGGTAAATACAGACTCGAGTTGTTGGTACTCACCAACAAGAGCCTGTCTTTTGTAAGGGCCTCAAGCAGTCTTGAAATTAAAATGCACCTGAAATGACTGACCTATATGGTATCATATACAACTGTGCAAATGTATTTTTTCACATCTGGAGGGACACCATTGACTTCAGGGGAGCTCTGGTCTTGGTCTGCAGAAGTCATTTTTGGCCTTGAAAGGGGATTCTTTGAAGGGGGAGTGGTAGGACAGCTCCCTCCTTTGGACTACGTTGGTAATGTGCCCGATCAACTCTGCAGGGTCCAGGTGAACCTGGCAGTGGAACCAGTGGCCATTTGGAGACTGACCAGAGGCATGGCTGCAGCCCACTTGAAGAGGATAAATCTAAATCACAGGTTCGTTCCTTGAAAAGAAAAGCAACTCAAAACTACATTTTCTGGAAGTTAAATTTAAGAACGGCTGTTGGAACCAAATGTTTTTCTTGCATCAATATTAATGACATATCTTAGTTCATAATCTGTGTTCCTGATATTTCCTCTCTAACTTAAAAAAAGTAAATTCTCAAATATTGTTTAAAGTCTTCTGAACAGTCTCGAAGGTATTTTAATAAAGCAGATCAAAGATGAGAAAAGAATTTGGCATGTATACGTTAATATTTAGTGTCTGTTTATACAAGCCATTTAGCTCCTTTTTTTGTCTGAAAAGTTTTCGACAGCTTCCTTTGTTGAACTGTGTTTGGTTTTGTTCTGTCTTGTGGATTAGCTTCTAGTGCTATGGAAGTTCTCTTAAAGGTTTTTAATTATTGTATCCCCTTGTCCTTGCAGAGAGAAAGGTAAGTGGGTGATGTCTTATGAAGGCAGAATCCCACCAGTTGGAAAAAGGTAGTAGTGAGCAGGGTGTAGTGGCTCTGGCCATAGGTGCTGGGGGCAGTTAATAAGAAAAGAGGAGCTAGTTTGCATTCTCCAGAGCTGCGTGTACCAGACCAGCCAAACGTTGATATTCTAGACTGTGCTCTGTGATATCCAGTGTTGGACCAATTTAGAAAAGATGAGCGTGGCCACTGCTTTAACTTAAGACCAAGCTGACTCAGTACATGCTGAACAAGAAGGTCGTGCAATCCAGAGCCCCGAGCTTTGGGAAGGCCTCTTGTTCCTCTTACACCCCCCGCTTTGCTGTTTTCACCTCCAGGTTCCAATGTCCTCGTCTTTCATGAGTGTTCTCCTTCTCTACTGCAAGCATGATGGTTCCCTTTCTCTCCTGTTTCCCAGGATATAGTACCTCAGCCCCTGCTAGATCAGTATGTGTCCATGACTGACCCAGCTCGAGCCCAGACCATCGATACCGACATCGCCAAACACTGTGCCTACAGCCTCCCGGGGGTGGCGCTGACGCTGGGCAGGCAGAATTGGCACTGCCTGAAAGATACGTACGAGACGCTGGCTTCCGACGTGCCAGTAAAAGGAGCCTTTTCAGGGGCAGGCACAGAATAGGACGGGTCATCTAATTAGGGAGAAAGGGAAGCTGCGACAAGGCTGCTCACTGACCTGTATTTTATGTGGCCGCCATTGGCTTGTTTACTGGTCTCTGAACAAATGAAGCTCTAAGTGGTCAACCCCTGGCAGTATCAGTTTGGCTCCACAAATGCCACTTATGCTCTTGATAACACTGAATTATGCTTGCCTTTTGTGGTCTGTATGTCTCTGCGCACCCCCAGTGGAAGGTCCGTCAGACCTTAGCCTTCTCCATCCACGAGCTGGCTGTGATCCTTGGGGATCAGTTCACGGCTGCCAACCTGCTGCCCATCTTCAATGGATTTTTAAAGGACCTGGATGAAGTACGCATAGGAGTTCTGAAACACCTGTATGACTTTCTAAAGGTAGGAAGAAGGATTAAAACAAAAAACAAATCTCCCCTCTTCAATACAATTTTTATATATCTATTTGGCTGTGTCGGGTCATAGTTGCAGCACACGGGATCTTTCTTTGCGGCGTGTGGGCTCTTTGTTGCAGTGCCTGGCTTCTCTAGTTGTGGCACGTGGGCTCCAGAGTGCGCGGGCTCAGTAGTTGCGGGTGAGGACTTAGTTGCCCTGCGCGTGTGGGATCTTAGTTCCCCAACCAGGGATCGAATCCGCATCCCCTGCGCTTGAAGGTGGATTCTTAACCACTGGACCACCAGGGAAGTCCCAATACAATTTTTTAAAACCCTGGATATGTAAAGTATCAGTGGGAAAAAAACCAGAAACAGCTGTCTGGGTTTCTTCAGTTGAAGCATATCATCCAAAATCTTAAAGTGGGCATTCTTTCAGTGACGGGTAAATATTTTTATCTTCCCTCCTAATCTTCCCGTCCCTTAGAGTTCTAATTGTATGGAGGATGGTAGACAGATGGCCCAGCACACTCTGAGAAAGAAGGAACCGGGCTCCCGGGTGGCGTGTGACTTGCCCGGGGTCACCTAAGGGAAGAGCCAGCTGAAATCCAATCTCAGTTCTGCACGAAGGGCTCTTTCTTGCAAGATGTTGCTGCTTCCCTTCTTGCCTTCCCCCCGCCCGCCCCCACCCCAGAGGAACGATGAGCGTAAAACTAAGAGTTTAAAAATGACCTAGAGAAACTAATTACTCGCGTCCACATGACCAGGAGCTGCCCTTGACGGAGTCTGGCGCATGCCGCATCGCCGGAGATTTTCCCGTCTGGTGCAGGAGCACACGAGCAGTGCCACCTCCCTGGGAAGCAGCCGGGGCATTGTCTTCCAAGCACACACATGCTTGGGTTTTCTTCAGGCAGGAAATTGTGAAAGAAGGATGAGTAGGGGGCGTGTAGAAACACACAAGCACATACACGAACCAGGGGAGAAAGGTTGGAAGCAGTCAGGGATGCGTTGGACGTCTGTTAACAGCAAAGCTAATTCACAGCCACACTGGGTAATGGAGTACAAGGCGTCAGGGAAATGCGCGGTTCTGGCCGGTGACAAATGTATAATCTGAAGTATAATAAAACAGTCTATTTGGGGACATTTTGAAGGATTATATATTTTTATTTATATATACATTCTTAAAAAATAGTTGCTTCATGAAGACAAGAGGAGAGAATATCTTTATCAGCTTCAAGAATCTGTAGTGACCGATAACAGCAGGAATTGGAGGTTTCGATATGGACTGACAGAGTAAGTAAAGCCTGTTTGGGGTTATGAGAAGGCAAGCTAGATGGAATAATTCTTAATTTCCCTACCTTATAATTGATTTCTAAAGTAGCAGTAGGAGTGTTCTTTTGGATAAAGAGATTATGTTTTTATTAAGGGATAAAATGAATTCCAAAGCTCTAAGTTACAAATACCACAGTCTCTGGGGAGACATTCATTTTCAGAGGCAGGCAGGGCGAGAGTCACTTTGGAATTAGAGTGTTGTGCTGCTCTGTAAGCCAATTTATTTGAACCAAGTGAAAGATGAATCACCCACTCTTCAATATTTTCCTATTAATCGGAGCAGTTTTTGCCAAAGCTTTCTTGAACATTCTGAGTGTAGCCCTCTGTGTAAGGGTACAGTGCAGTTTATACACTTCAGCCACTAAGGAAAATTGTGTTACAGTGAGAGATATGAAAAGGTCTAACCCAGATGAAGCGATTATTTAATAAAAACGTCCCCCAAGGTGGCTCAGATCTGTACATCATTTTGTGTGTGAAGGAGTTATTTAATTCCCCATTTTGTGCCAGCAGGAGGAATGTTCAAGGTTTTAGTGATTCTAAAAGAGTGAAAGTGTCACTTTAAATAATTCTCCGTCCCGAGGTGTATAATGTGCTTTCCGCAGTATTGAGTGGATTTGTTTGTGGTGTTGTTGTTTGGGTTTTAGTTTTCACCCTGTCGAGATTTATTTCAGTATCTCTAGTTTTCATTTTTCTTGCCCTCAACTGGAAATCTCTCAAATAATTGTCTTCCCTGTAGCAATCCATCAGGCTTTTGCGGCTCTTCAGGATATGATTTGGCCGATGCCAGGGGCAAACTGAAAGATTTTCTCTTTGCTGTGATCCTTAATCATTATGCTTAATTTGAGAGATTGAGGTTTCAGTCATTATGCCATGTTCCCGGCGTGTATTCTCAGAGAACCGAGATAAAAACAGGCCCACGTTTTTTTCCATGAAGGCATCGCGCCCTCTAGCGGCTGAGTGCAGGAACTCGGCGAGGTCCCTCTCTGGCCGGGCTGACCTGCTTCCCCGGGGATGGGGATGGGGATGGGGATGGGGTCGGGGCCGGGGATGGGAATGGAACCGGGCACTGGGGACCCCGGGATGGGGTTGGGGCCAGAGGCCGGGGATGGATTCGGGCCTGGGGACCGGCTGACCGGCTTCCCGGGACCCGGGACCAGCGACGGGGACGGTGTGGAGCCGGAGCTGGAGCCAGGGCCGGCTGCGATGACCTGCTTCCCGGGGCCGGGCCGGGCCGGGCCGGGCCGGGCTGGGCCGGGCCGGCTCGGCTCGGCTCGGCTCGGCTCGGCTCGGTTCGCTTCGCCCGACGGCGTTATCTCCGAGCGCGGGCTATCTAACTAACATCTCTGCGATGGTTATTGAAGCCAAAGCCACTGATATGAATTCTGTGCTTCCATGCCCACGATATTGGTATCACTTTTCTGAAAACAGTGCTTTTTGATATGAACGTATTCACCGGCACCCCTGGCTTTTGGTTCTAGCTTCCTTCCAATCTCTTTTTCATTTCCTTTCTTTGCCAGTGTGGAAATAATGCCATTTATTTTCATACCCTTCTCCCCTTCGCCGTTTAGAAAACAGTGAAAGCTTTGGTAGTAGGTTTTTCCCACCAGCCATCTTATGAATTTTTCCCTGGGAGTAGAGCTCGTGCTCCCGTTCTCTCCAGATGGACCTTGTTGGATTGAACAAGGCTCGTGAACAGTGCGTGAGCCGGCCAGCAAAAGCAGAAAATTTAATTTGCAGCGTCAGGAACACAGCGGAGACAGTGAAATCTCATGTGTTTTCCCTTGATCTGGCGATCTTTGGGAACTTCGGCGTCCTGGCTATTTTTATGTTATCTGATTTTTAAAGTTTTATGTGCTTTCGAACTGATAACCTAAAGTTGAAATATTGAATCCCTATTCATAAATTTCTCAGCCTCTGTTTTACAGAGTTTAATTTATTTCCTTTCTGTTTGATTTGTGTGTGTGAGAGAGATGAAGAATTAAGATTTTTTCCCCCAATTTTCTTTGCGTGGCCATTTTCACTCAGCTTTCTGCTTCCGTTGATCTCCCAGCTTGGCTATTTTTATCTATAAAATGAAACGAGAATAAAGAGAGGTTGATAATGTGTTTTTCACCCCCCAAACAATTTCTTTCTTTCTTTTTTTTTTTTAATTTCAGACAGCTGATACTGATTTTGGACCTCTATAGTCCCAATGATGTTTATGATTATTTAGTGCATATTGCCTTAAAGTTGTGTGCAGATAAAGTTTCTGAAGTTCGGTGGATCTCCTTCAAGCTAGTAAGGAATCATGACCTTTTCTGTTTATGATTTTTAGAAAAAGGAATATTTATGTTTCTTCCATTTTAACTTCTTTATTTTTTCTGGGCTTAATTTGTCCATTTACCCATGAAAGCAGCTTTTAAGTTTCGAAATTAGGAACTGTATTATAGTTTTATCAGTATGTAAGATAGCTCTTTTGTTAAGCAGTATGCTTGAGTGTTGAAAATTGTGGATAAATCACCTTATGTATGAAACTCTTTAAACAATGGCTTAGTGTTTCTTTTCAACACAGATCGGGTTGACTCTCCAGCACGGTTTTGTAGAAAAGTAGTTAGTGAGCAAAAACTCCAGCAAAGAAAAGCCGATCCTGTTTTATGTGGGCTTATACCAGCTGAATACTGAGGAAAAACATTCTCACTTGAAAATATTTACTAAGGTACTCTGATGGTGCTAAAATTTTATGAAAATGACATGTTCTGGAAGGTAATGATTTAGTTGTTATGCAAGGGGACATTTTCTAAACTTTGGAATCTTAAGAATAATGTACTTTTCTAATGCCAGTCCCTTTTTACATTTCATTTTTTTTATTTTTTATTTTTTTATTTTTTTTTACATTTCATTTTTTGAAGGGTTTTATGGGTGTGACTGTGTGTGTGTGTATCACCATATATTTAAACATCTTTTTTCCTCTGTGTTCTAATGATCACTGTGACAAAAATGACTTTCTCGCGTGCTTATAAATTTGTTTTAAAGGTGGAAGGGTGCATCAAAATGTCTAGTTTCCGTGTAGAGTAGTATTCATAGTCCAAGTAGATGGCAGCATTCTAAATTCGCTATTCTAATATTTTTCACAGGTTGTAGCAATTCTGCAGAAGTTCTATTCCAACAGTGAAAGTGCGTTGGGGTTAAATTTCATCAATGAACTCATCCTAAGGTTCCGGCACTGTTCTAAGTGGGTCAGAAGGCAAGCGTTTGCTTTCATTTGTCAGGTTAGCAGGGCCTGGGGGGAGCATCTACCCTGCACATTTGTTTGCCGTGTGATATCAACACACAGCACCAGGCAAAGAATCTCAGCCCTGGAGGACTAGCCAGGAACCTGGGGAGCAGCGGACCGAACCCCCTTATCTCACAGGAGATTGTGACAAGCCAGTTTGGAAAAGGGACTTGCCCAGGGTTACCCAGCGCTTCTGTGCAGTCATCCTATGGGTAGTGACTGAGCACCTACTGTGTGCCAGGCCTGCTCTAGGTGCTGGAGACGGAAGAGGAAAACCTCCTGCTCTCCGGCACTTTCCATCCAGGGAGGTGGGGGCCAGGCCCAGACCGTGCTCCCGTCATGTCCAGCGCAGGGCTGCTCATCACTGCGCCCGCCGCAGTAGGGAAGGAGGAAGGTGGGGTGAGGGGCACAGCAGTGGGGCAGCTCGGGGACCTTTCGTCTCTTTCAGGTGAAGGTCAACCCCTCAGGTCGCCCTCTCTACTTAGCATCTTGGAAATGAGGGCATGATTTATGTTTGGCTGGGGAGGATGGCTGTCAGTTTTGATCGCCTCTGTGTGCCGGGCATCTCATCCTACACCTGCTTCTAACAGTGAGGTCTGCCAGGTGTTGAGCTCAGTGCACCCATGTACTTTTAGACCAGTTGTTTTAGCTGAAGGAGTTGGAGCCCAGAGAGGTTAGGTAAATTGCTCAGGGTCACCCAGGAAGTGTAAAGCCATGATTTTCTTTCTGCTGAACTGTTATTTGAACAGTTTTAACTTTTCCTCATGCACACGGTCTATCATATACAAAGGTGGAGGGAACAGTAGAATGAACCAGCACGTACTTGTCACCCGGCTTTGTCAGTAATACGGTAAAGCTGTGATCGGGCTCTACCTGACCCCTGGCCCCGCAGCAGCCCCCTTTCCCTCCCCCGGAACCACCCGGCCTCCCTACTGAGGAACTCACCAGGGCCCCCTGTAGGCCCGCAGGGGTATAACAGGGGTACTTTGGCCATCTACTTGCAGAAGGGCAGTGGGGGGCAGGGTCAGTGCCAAAGTCACAAAGCGCAGGCCTGATACCACAGACTTTCATGAAGAAGTCAGTGCTGCCCACTATTTTGTAGAGAAAGGGTAAATGAGATATTTTTGCTTTTATTTTTAAATTCTTTTTCTGAGATTTAGACAATCCGCGATGAAACAGAAGGAAAAGGCACCGACTAATTTTGTTCAAGAAAAATCAGTTTTTTGGTGTGCCTTCATTAAAGATTTAGAAAACCTACAGTAACACAAACAAAAGGAAAGTGTCCTCAGCCAAGAGAACCTCCCAGTGGGCACATGGATTACTATTTAAATGCAGGGAGATGTCGTAACCTGGAGATTAGGGGGGCCGACTTTGGAGTCAAAACCTGTTACTTTGAAGCCTGAGTCTACTGCTTTCCTGCTGGGTGGCCTTGGGCAAAGCACCCTCTCTGCACGGCCTTTCCGTGTTCTGTAAAATGGAGTTCCCGTGGTACGGGCCTGCCTCCTGGTGTGGCCCTGAGGCTTTAGTGAGCTGACGCATCCGAGTAACCAAGCACGGTGCCAGGAGCCTGGAGAGCACTTACTACATGTCAGCTGCTGTTGTTACCCCGTAGTGGGAAGAGCCACAGGATTTAGAATCCACACTCCTGCCTTGGAGTCTCCACCTGCTGCTGCCAGTGGGTCTTGAGCCTTTGGGTATCACCACAACA